GTTTACATAATATGTATGTGTACTGTGTATATTTATTATGTATATATAAATACACACACATACAGTATATATATAAATATATTTAATATATAAACATAACATATGTTTCTTAAATATATACATGCATGTGCGTGTATTTATATACACATAATAAATATACATAGTACACATACATATATTATGTAAACAAAAACTTTTAACTTTTATTTGGATGCGATTAATCGCGATTAATCATTTGACAGCACTATTTAAAAACCTTATTTTTCAGGTAAGAACGGGCGCGGTGCAGGGTTGCCAGATTTTCACAAAAAAACAAGCTCAACTGGTACTCAAAACTAATCAAAAACTAGCCCACTAGGGGGTATGTTTTTTTTTTTTTTCTGGTAAAATTCGTATTCCAGGGGCTTAATGTCACGTTATTTGGGTCGTTTCAACCCGCGGACATGAAAAACAACCCACGGCAACGGTTTAGGCCCAATGCCGTGGAAAACCGCGGACTTGTCAACAACTGCGCGGATGTGCCAGACTTCCAGTTTCGCTTCCAGATATTTCTCATGCACAAAAACCGCCCATATAATGTTGCTTGATGTTGCAAACTAGCATTTTTCATCATATTATTGTAAGTCATTATCATAATCATAAAAACACTCTACTGTACTTTACTATTCGTATTTATTTACCTACCGAAACTAATGAATGGGAAGTCCCGCTCATTCAAAGAAAATAGATTACTTTCGCGTTGGAAAATAAGGTGGTTAATAATAAAGACAGAGATTGGGAACGCAATCAGGTGAGATGGCTCAAGATAATTAGTTAGTCATTGTTTGTCCAGTTATCCAATCATATGTCCTGTTGAGGCAAACACAAACATATTTTTATAAGAACATTTTTCGAACGTTCAAATTATGAAAACGTCATTTTTTCAAAATGTCAATTTTTTTAAAACAGTTTAGAGATGTCTATTTTCTGGGTTATTGCAAATGTTAGAGATTAAGGAAAATAATTGGAATGTTACTTTTGAATGTTCTCTGAACATTCTGAAACAAGTAGGACATAGTAACGTTTAAATACAAGTTAAACATGTCTTGATGGATTTGTTTGTTACAAGCATGCAGCTTTTTGCTGCACAAGATGTTAACTGATGGACTGGAGTGGCGTGGATTACTTGTGGATTATTGTGATGTTTTTATCAGCTGTTTGGACTCTCATTCTGACGGCACCCATTCACTGCAGAGGATCCACTGGTGAGCAAGTGATGTTATGCCACATTTCTCCAAACCTGTTCACATGAAGAAACAAATTCATATAGTTTTTTGATGGCCTGAAGGTAAAAACATTTTCAGCAAATGTTCATTTTTGGGTGAACTATTCCTTTAACAATTAATGCACATCATGACGTTTCCATTCGATGTTTCAATGCAATGCCCCAAAATTCACATAAAAATATGTGGATTGAAACAACAAGAAGGTTTGCTGCTGGTGAAGATGTTGCGCTTTTATGACCTCAGTGTCAAAAGCACTTTAACAAATTTAGGCCAATATACACAATTACTCAGACAGCCCAGGCTCTGATCAATAGCACAGTGAGTGCTCTTACACATTTACAACAGCTCCTTAAAGAACATTCTCAAACCTTATCGTAAGTCTGCTGTTTAGAGGCTCCTCTTGACTCCATTTGCTGGATGTGTCTTACTGCACAGTGTTTTTTTCCTGTAGTTATCCTCATCGATCCATCTGGTGACCTCCAGGGCACACTGTAAGGGCACTGTCAATATTTTAATCTCAAAAGGTTGCATAGGCCTTTTAATCAAATATATAAGTGACAATCAGTAAATG